TTCTTGGATGGCACAGATAGTTAAGCACTCAGGTACTGGATGAAGTGTTGGTGTGGTTCAGACCCACCCAGGGATACCTAGACTATATGCTTCTTAAAGGGCATGGCCCTGAAAATCCTACGGAGCAGTTCTACTCTGTACACATGAGTCAGAATCAACGCAACAGATTTGACAACAAAACTTCACTAGGTATTCTTGATACCTTTTATTCTAATGAGTTTGCAATGAGTTTGAGTCATTCTGTAATTGCTAGGTAGTCCCAGAGCCCTTAGGGTCACTAAAGTAAACTGGTAAGATGTGGGCGGTTCCTGGTCATGTATTTCCTGAGCTCTGATGCCAGCTGGAAAGGGTGGGCACATGACTAACCATGTCTGCTCCTCTCTGTTAGAGCTGCCAACTTCAAGAACTTTACCTTCATCCAACTGAATGGAGAGTTCTCTCGGGGAAAGGGGCTTGATGTCGGTGCCCGCTTCTGGAAGGGAAGCAATGTCCTCCTCTTCTTCTGTGACGTCGACATCTACTTCACCACTGAATTTCTCAATACGTGTAGGCTGAATACTCAGCCAGGTATGGTCTGTCAGGCTGCCATCTCTTCCCTTTTCTCCCTCACTTGTGATTCTCTTCACAGTCCAGGCTCAAGTTGTACTTACTTCACCTCAATGACAGAGAAAAGGAAAACTGTCTGGTTTTATTTCTCCTTTGGTATGACATTGTGAACTTGGCAGCCACCTCAGTTCTGGGACTATGTTCCAAGTTCATGATTATATCCCTTTTCCCATTTCCAGTTGGGAGACCTGCTTTCCTGAACAAGAAGAGGGAGTGCGTGGGGGGAGGGGTGGAATAGCAGGAAGGGCGTGCCCCCAGGAAAAAGTGCTGTGGGTCCTTACCAAGAGGAGAAGGGCTACAAGAAAAATGCAAAACAAAATAAGAATATTTGATGAGAGGTCTTCTAAAGCTTTGTGGAAAAATTCCATGATCCTTTCATTTCTGTTTTGCCACAGACTTATTAAAGCCCCTTTGTATTTTCATGTAGTTGACGTATAGGCAGGGCTGATAGTCAATGGCTAATTTTTGGCATAACCATATCTGTTGTTAAAATATTGAAAATCTTTATCATAAAAGGGTACAGAACTACTACCCCCAGACTCCCTATGTCTATTCCTGCTGCCCAGACATCCTGGTCCCTTTCAGATTGACCCAGGACCCAGCAACTAAAGAGTTAACTCTACTACAGTAGAGAAGGCCAGGACTTCACACTAATGCATCCACTCCCTTGGGTTGATGTCCAGGCAAAACCACTGACTTGCACCATTTTGAATATCACTTTGATGGTAGGAGTTCTTTGAGTCACAATTACTTGGATGTCTGTCTGACCTACCTGATGCAGAAGTTCTAAGTGCTTGAGTGTGTTTCCAGCAGGAGGGTCTGGTTTAAGAGTCCAGTGAAAAAGGACTGTAAATGTAAATACCTGGAATGTTTCCTAGGGTTGAATGAAAAGGAACAAACTCAGTAGTCTCCTCTGTAGCTTTGAGTGAATGTTTGTTTTTTGGTTTGCAGGAAAAAAGGTCTTTTATCCAGTCCTTTTCAGTCAGTACAATCCTGGCATAATCTATGGCCATCACGATTCAGTCCCACCCTTGGAGCAACAACTGGTGAGTAATTACCACCACCCCCCTACAACCCCCAATGCCTGTATGTGGCTCTGTGTCCTGACTTCAAACAGGTTGATTCCAGTTCAAACCCCTGCTGAAAACTTGAAGGGCACCCCAGATACACTGAATCACAATCTGTAGTGTAACAAGAGCCCCAGATGGATCTTAGAGACCACCAAGGGGATTCTTGCTTATACTTAAGAATCTTGTTAAATGGGGATCTTGTTAAAACATAAATTTTAATTTAGTGAAATGCAGATTCTCACCAGGGGGTTGAACCAGAATGAACTGATTGGAAGCTCTTCCCCTGTCCCCCTTCATTAGCAGGACATCTGATCATAAGTTAAGATGAGTGGGAATCTGGGGTTTGATTCCCTCCTTAGTGTTTGTTTCACATATGTTACAGGCTTTGCTCCCCCCTCCTGGTTGATTAAAAGTGCTCACAATATTTAAAAGTGGAAAATAAATAGGAACAGCACTGTCTGAGAAGGTCATTTCACACTTTCATAGTTTCCTTCTATAGTTTTGGAAGGAGCAATGCCTTTTCTCTGTATTGTTGCAAATAAAGTAAGATTTATATTTTTACTTTACAGATAGAAAATAGAGTCAGAATATAGGGGTGTGGGGTTAAGGACCAGATCCAATTTTCTGGACCCAGGCTGTCAGTACCCTTCCCATCATACCACAGTTTCCATGGATCTCCATGCCTCTGGGTGGACACTAGGATCAGAGTTGTCACAAGTAAGGTGGCTTTCAAAGGTGCTAAGATCCTGACTGCCTGAGTGATGGGCAGCAGAACCCCACAGCTACCTGGGGCCTCTGTATGCTGTGATCTCTCTGTCCTAGGCAGGCAGTTGGTTCAGTCAGCAAAGAAGCAGGCAGGGGATAATGGAAATCAGAAGAGCTTCTCTGTCCCTTTGAGACTTAACATGCCCCATGTCTGTTGCTGGTGTATTGACAGAGAGAGGTCCCGCCTCTTCTCCCAGCCCCAAACTGTACTATGGCTTTTCCCTGTAGGGAGATCAGCTGGGCTTATCTGAAACCATGTTCTTATTCAGGCTGACTCTCCTGGGGCCACTCTGGCTAGGGGCTGTCTTTGTGTTATGTCTTACCTAGCCAAGATGCCTTCTGCTGCAGCAAAGCCCCTTGGGGTGGAGGAAGGATATCTACTCCATGAAAGTGAATATGTAATGGGACTAGGTCTTACATGCTCCCATGCCATGGGAGAGTAGAATGATTTTCACTAAAAACATGAATTGTATGAAATTCTTCTGGAGGATTGACTATTGTGCTTAATCTTCCACAAGCAGTAAAACCAATTCTATCTTCATCCTATGCCTCCCTCCAAGTGACCTTTGGTAGCTGATGTAATAACCTTCTCCAGAAAGTTTCAGGCTGGGGTTCCTTCAAGTTAGACAAGGTTTATCTTTTGGATGTAAGACACTGTATTGATAGTAAAGATATTTCCCTCCTCCCTAATGAAATTGTAATACCACAGATATACTGTGTATCTGTTATGTATACTGTATGTATATCTATGCTCTGGTAGCGTAGTGGTTACGAATCGGGCTGCGAACCTTAAGGTCAGCAGTTCGAAACTACCAGGCGCTCTGTGGGAGAAAGATGAGGCTTTCTACTCCCGTAAGGATTTACACCCTCGGAAACCCTGTACAGGGTCGCTATGGGTCGGAACCGACTCAACGGCACTTAACAACAACAACTTAACAACAATACATAAAAGTAGTAAGAGCTTTGCACTCCCAAGAACCAACATTCATCCCCTTAAGGGTGAAGTCACTTTGAGGATGTAGGTGCACCTGACCCAAGTCAAGGTATTTTTCAGTCACCTCATTTGCATGTGAAAGCAACAGTGAATAAGGAAGAGTGAAGTAGATCAGATGTATTTGAATTATGGTGCTGGCAAAGAATATTGAATATACCATATTCTGCCAGAAGAATGAAAACATGTACCTTGCAATAAGTACAGCCAGAATACTTCTTGGAAGTGAGGATCATGGGACATTTGACAGGATATAAGGAGGGACCAGTCCCTGAAAAAGGACATCATGCTTGGAAAAGCAGAGGGTCAGTGTAAAAGAACAAGACGCCCAATGAGATGAATTGAAAAAGTGGCTGCAATGATGGCTGTGATCCTGAGGGTGCACAGAATGGGATCATGCTGTGTTCTGTAGTACATAGGGTCATTATGGGTTGGGACCAACTTGACAGGACCTAACAATAACAAAGGGTGATAGCACACCCATTGAGACGCTTTCCTGAAGAATTCTAAGCTTCTGAAAGGAATTTCGGGAAAAATGAGATACAAGAGTGATTTTTCTCTCAATCAAAGAAAACAAAAGTTCATTTAGTTGTTTTTAAAAAGTACTGGTTTACATCTGATGTCAGTGTGTTTAATGGTTCTATTTCAAACTCTTAAAGACCTCATTTACTTGCAAGGAATTATTTTTATAATTCACAGTATGTAAGTTTTATCCTTTATCATTCTTTCAGGGAAGCAGGGCATGGGAAGCTAGAGGGATGGTGTGGTTAAACAAGTTCCTCAGATCCCACAGAATTAGTGGTCAAACAGAAATGTAACTCCCATATCTGTTTCCTGGTGCCATTGAGTGAGTTATGAATCATAGTGACCCTGAATAGGGTTTCAAAGATCAGCTCGAGAACATAAAGCCAAATGTTACAACAAAATGTGCAAAGCTCTGGAATCAGAAAACCAAAAAGGAAGAACATGCTCAGCATTTCTCAAGCTGGGGGAACTGAAGAAAAAATTTAAGCCTCAACTTCTGTTATTGAAGGATACTCTGGGCAAATTATTGAATGATGTACAAAGCATTAAGAGAAGATGGAAGGAATACACAGTCACTGTACCAAAAGGAAATGGTTAATGTTCAATCATTTCAAGAGGTAGCATATGATATAGAGCCAATGATACTGAAGGAGAAAGTCCAATGTGCATTGAAGGAATTGGCAAAGTACAAGGCACCAGGAAATTATGGAATAAAAATTGAAATCTTTTAAGAAAGTGAGGTGGCGCAGGAGGTACTCACTCATCTCTGCCAAGAAATTTG